AAAATGTCTGAAAGTTTGTGCAAAATGTCTGAAAGTTTGTGCAAAATGTCTGAAAGTTTGTGCAAAATGTCTGAAAGTTTGTGCAAAATGTCTGAAAGTGTATGCAAAATGTTTGAAAGTGAGTATTATTTTGTGAATGTCCCTCGTACTTACCCTGCATGACCTTCGTAGAATAGCACCTGAGGTATTCAGATTCATCTTATATGATCTATAGAAGGAGACTGAGGCAGTTAAGGAGGTATCTGTGTGCAACTATGTTGACCCTTTTCAAACCAAAGAAAACCATAGCATGTTGATTGTGAAAGTAATTACTTCATTACCTTGGTGTGTTACTGCATGTTTAGAAGTAATATCCCCTGATTATTTTTGTTTTAATTACATTTTTATTCCATTTTATAAAATAATATTTTGGTTTGTATTTGATTATCAAAAGCACTGTTCTATATTGCCTTTTAATGTCCATTTATTAGTATTTTAAGTAATAATGTGATTTGTGCTGTATGTTTGCTTGTGCAGAATGTGCTGTAGTCATGTCTTTGCCTTGGATTTTTAACTTGTAACTCTTTCTGTGCCATGAATCTCACAAGTTCATGTAGTAGTCCTAAGACAGTACATCCTTCAGACTCTCTTCTATTGCAGACCGTACATCCTTCACACTCTCTTCTATTGCAGACAGTACATCCTTCACACTCTTTTCTATTGCAGATGGTACATCCTTCACACTCTCTACTATTGCAGACCGTACATCCTTCAGACTCTCTTCTATTGCAGACCGTACATCCTTCTGACTCTCTTCTATTGCAGACAGTACATCCTTCAGACTCTCTTCTATTGCAGACTGTACATCCTTCACACTCTCTTCTATTGCAGACAGTACATCCTTCACACTCTCTTCTATTGCAGACAGTACATCCTTCACACTCTCTTCTATTGCAGACAGTACATACTTCACACACTCTTCTATTGCAGACAGTGCATCCTTCACACACTCTTCTATTGCAGACAGTACTTCCTTCACACTCTCTTCTATTGCAGATAGTACTCCCTTCACACTCTCTTCTATTGCAGACAGTACATCCTTCAGACTCTCTTCTATTGCAGACAGTACATCCTTCACACACTCTTCTATTGCAGACAGTACATCCTTCACACTCTCTTCTATTGCAGACAGTACATACTTCACACTCTCTTCTATTGCAGACAGTACATCCTTCACACACTCTTCTATTGCAGACAGTGCATCCTTCACACACTCTTCTATTGCTGACAGTACATCGATCACACACTCTTCTATTGCAGACAGTACTTGTTTCACACACTCTTCTATTGCAGACAGTACATACTTCACACTCTCTTCTATTGCAGACAGTACATCCTTCACACACTCTTCTATTGCAGACAGTACATCCTTCACACACTCTTCTATTGCAGACAGTACATCCTTCACACACTCTTCTATTGCAGATAGTACTTCCTTCACACTCTCTTCTATTGCAGATAGTACTCCCTTCACACTCTCTTCTATTGCAGACAGTACATCCTTCAGACTCTCTTCTATTGCAGACAGTACATCCTTCACACACTCTTCTATTGCAGACAGTACATCCTTCACACACTCTTCTATTGCAGATAGTACTTCCTTCACACTCTCTTCTATTGCAGATAGTACTCCCTTCACACTCTCTTCTATTGCAGACAGTACATCCTTCAGACTCTCTTCTATTGCAGACAGTACATCCTTCAGACTCTTCTATTGCAGACAGTACATCCTTCAGACTCTCTTCTATTGCAGACAGTTGTGAATGTTAACTTCTTCTTATTTCTTTTTCTATGTTTGCTCTTACAAGGGCAGTTGGCACATTGTGTTGTGGTTTAAAGCTAGACTGTGATATCTACCACTTTCAATCCAACACATCAGATTTCAACTAGTTTATGGCATACTTGTGTGTGTGTGGGGGGGGGGGGGGGGGGGGGGGTGTGGAGTCTGTTCTTGTGTCCCACTAAAGTAGAACACAAGAACCCACATAGGGAATATGAGTTGTTTATTTAGCCCCTGTGTTAGACTTTCTTATGAACCCACATAGGGAATATGAGTTGTTTATTTAGCCCCTGTGTTAGACTTTCTTATTCTTGAAACCTCTTTGGACTTAAACATTAGTTGCTAGAACTTTAGCAGCAGAAAGAGTTGATGCATTTGCAGGTTGGTACTGAAAGAGTTAAATTATTAATCGGCACAGTTCGTCTTACTGTTCATTTTAAATCTTCAACGGTTAAAACAAAAATGCATATATTTTTGTGTATCTGGACATTGTTTGGTTGACTTGTCATACTGACACTTTTTGTCTCCTTGTTTGTGCTTTTTTAATTATTTATTTTCTTTCATTATTTAACGATATCTTTATTATGTGTGCTTTTTCTTAATGTTGTTACTGTAATAAGTGTAAAAATAATAGAAGATGATGAAATGCAAGATAATGGAAGAATGCTGACTGAAATTTGATCTTAGCAAGGGCAAATGTTAAAATAATGGTTTAGCCACTTAGATAAAATGCCTTGTGACACTATACCAGACAAGGCATATACCAAAAGAGGCATAGAGCATGAGCTAGACCAAGAACAAGATGGAATGATAACATTAGAGAAACTCTGTAACAGTACAATGTGTCTGTGGTCAAGATGACCAGAAAAGCAAGAATCCAGCTAACATCTCCCCAGCCAACTGAAGTGGTAAAAGAGGAAGTGAACAGTAGAATGTTAACACATGAATTGATACAGTCAGGTGGGGGATCTGGAGATATCAAGAAGTATGGTCACCCATGCTAGTTGACAAGGCACTTGATGTTGATACACTGGCCCACTAAACCAGCACTAAACTACAAGCTGTGAGGTGCTGGCAGTAAGTCGTGACAGTGACTGTCAAGGAGTTACAGAAGAACGCTGGAAGTAGACTCATTCACAGCCCCTCATATTTGCCCTGGATGTGTGCAGAAAGTATCTGCATCTTCAGCAGATTCTTCCTTGGTAATGCATGGTGCAGCATTCCCTGTTAAATGTAATCGTTGCTCCAGTGATTCATCTGAACAGTTAAGTTAGGGGCCAGGGTTATGATAACATTCCTAGTGATACAGGGAGATTATAACTCATCTTCAAGCAGAGAATGTACAGACTTGTCAGTTCAAGTGGTGACCATATTGAAAATAATTAAACGCCATTTATAATTTGACTTCTCTGTTAATTTCATCATGGTTAGGGTAAACATGTGTGGCCAGTATATTGTAAAGAAAAGCTAGAAAAATTATCACATGGATCATAAGAACTCACGCAATGATGTAACCATTAAAGATGTGATAGCAAGAAAAAGATATCAAAGAGAAGTAGTTGCTTACACCACTGAGATAGAATAGAATAGAACTCTGCTGTCATGAAACAGTCACTGAATGTTGCTTTGCATTTCTAGCACGATTTTTGTAATTATTATTTTTAATTTGCACTTTTTCTTTCTTTCTTTTAGAGATGCAACTTTTTAAAAACTAAACTTGTATGATCTTTTACCATTTTTTAAATTTATTGCTGCAGTGGTGATGTGAAATAAAGTGTTGTATCACTGGGCCAGATTGTCATTGTAATATGCCTGTTGCATGTTTGTAATACCCCCTTAAACGTACATTGTGCATATTTCCTTCAAATTAACTTTGTTGATAATATCTATATAATTATTAAATTGTGGTGGTAGCTACATTAGTATTGTTTATTTAGCATATTGGTAGATAAAAATCAAATATTTATTAGACAGCATTGTAAACTGAAAGTTATTTCTTTGGAAGTATAATGGTACATTTGCTTGCCGTAGATGTAGAAAGAGGCATTCAGTGTGTTTGCTTACATCATGAGAGGGGATAACCAGAACATATTGTAAACACTAGAACAAGCTATATTGAAAATAAGATTTTTTGAATTTTCCTCTATTCTTGGTATTTTGCTTCCTGTGTGGGTTCACTGATCCATGGGGGGGGGGGGGGGAATAGACCCCCCTCGCTCAATCATAATTTTGTCAAATTTGTAAAGGCAACTAATTAGGGGATTGCTGAAATCAAATGTGTTGGGCTGAAAAGTGCAGCTATTGCAGCCTAGCTGTAAACCACAACACAACTAGGGCAAATGTAGAAGAAGCAGCAGAAGAAGATTTACAAATTGCCGCTGACATATTTCGTCAAGAAAATGGCTGTGTTTCAAATTTGTATCTTAATTCATCAAATGAAGAACTGATTATATGTTTGTGTTTTTTTTTTTTTTTAATGTATTCTGCACAATTTAGTATTCCAGTATAACTGAATTTGAATCCCAAAGTTGCTCTTGTGATTGATTTGAAGTTACCACACAGACTAACAAAAGAATTAAATTGTAAACTGAGATTGATGAGTATCTTAGCCCCGATTTGTTGAACAGAAAGAAATGTGTCGTTTTAATGATGTAGGTAACAGTTAATTATTTGGGTTAAAGTCTTTTTTTGTGATCTTCACACTGTTGTAAGTTAGCTTTGTGTTGTAAGGGCCCTTTAAGGACAAATCGATCATCTTGGTCTTAAGAGAATGGTACAGCGAAGAGTGACTAGGAGATCCGACTGATGCTCAGCACTTAGGGGAGAGACGAGATAGACATTCAATCAGAATTGGAATTCTGTGCTTGCTGCTGAAGATGGGGACCAAATGCTTATGGGAGTGTTATAAGTGCTATGATATCTGTTTTTAACTCATAACTCCCTTTTTCTTTTTCAGTGAAGAAAAAACTCAAAACTGGAATGCTTAGCTGAGGCAGAAAAATGTAGAATATAATTGCTCTGAGTGTTGGAAATTATTTATACTGTTTCATTATTGTTATCATCCAAACATAGCGGAGTTACCAGTTGTATGTGAGGGATTGTTTCACATGTACTTGAACTTGTATGTTTTATCACCGTATTGATTATTTGTTTGACATGTTTTGATGTTGACTCTCTGCAGAACTGCTGGTCTCCAGACGACTAGGATCAGATCAGAGTAAGTGTATTTTATCTCCAGTTCTTATCTCTAAAAGGTTGGTTGCTACATAACTGTTTTCAGTATGTGGTCTTTTTACTGAACTGTTTTCAGTATATGGGCTTCAAAGTGATCAGTATGTAATTGTTTTCTTTATCTACACAGCTAATTGATATATATTAATTTTCACTATCTAAGCTACATAGTCGATTGACATGATATGTAATGTATCAATGTGTTGCCCAGGGAAGATGATTTATTTTTTAAGGTTATTATATTTTTATAGATAAAAAGTGTAATAGAAAACAGACTTGACTTGAAAGAAAATTATTCACAAACAGGATTGATTATTCACATCACAGTTGGACTTCTCTTCCATGTTCACTTTAAGTAGGGCGGTAGGAACATTCTTTTTGTGCTTTCCAGCAGGGCTGTGATATCTGTACCGAAATCAGCAAATCTTTAACAAGTGCCCTTGTGAAGGGCACTGTATGTTATTGTCTGCATCAAAAGTGGGTCCTTGGAACCCACTTAGGGAGTAAAGAACCCTTTTCCACAACTTCAGGTTAATTGGGCATATAGGGCTGGAAATCTATTTTATAGACCAATCAGCATTCGATGGGTGATATGGTCATAATCACACCAACCACCCTTACTTCCCAAGACTTTATCTGGTACCCATTTGAGGCTGGGTGGACCAGGAAACCAAGTTTGTTTTTGAAAAAAGTCCAGCTCAGTTAAGATTTGAACCCACGACGTTCGGATCCCTATGCATCTAGCCACCACACCATGGTGACTTTCCACATGTGGAGTGGCTGTAATATATATGTTGTCTTTTTTTTTTTACCTTCCATCCGAAATAGAGGATAAAATTAGACATCTTTCTATTCTGTTTAGTGTACATTTGCTTAACTGTATTCTGTCTCCCAACCAGGCAACGTTAAAATACTGGATGATTCCTTTATCCGATCGGCATCCATGAGAATGAGCGACCGTGCCAAAGCGATGTCGACTCTGCTACAGTTCAAGTCTTCTGTGGCCAGGCAGCCAATATTGAGGTCTAGTTGGAATGGGACTTCAGACGAAATGTACAGTGACAAGGATCGGAGCTTGAAGACACCTCCCAGCAGTGCCAGCTCTTCACCTGGGCCAGCTCGGAAAAAGGTAACCTTTTCTATCTCGACACAGATTTGTTTACAATGACTAATGTGTGTGTGTGTGTGTATAGGTGTTTGCGACTTTGGAATGCTGCGGTGCCTGATTTGATCTTACCTGCTGGCAGTTTGGCAGCAAACCGCCTAGCATTGGTTTCAGCAGTGGTATCATGAGCTGACCGTTTAGAAAGCAGTGGCAAACTAGTGAATCTAAATTTGCCTTGAAAAACCACACCAGGTCATAGGTTTGTTTTACAGCGGCACGGTTCAGTTCAAGAAGACATTTTTTTACGGAGATCCATGGGGAACATTGCTCGAGCTATAGGGGATCAAATCTGGTGCAGTGATGTCGATCCTCTCGCCTTTACCTTTGACAGCTTCAGAAAATAGCAACAGGCAGTTGGCATTCTGAATTGTTAGAAGGCTTTTGAAAATCGCACTTAACCTCCTCATCACCTGGATCTACACACCTGGTCCTGCTGGGGTAAAGGGTAATAAGTGAGTGAACCAACTGGTAAGCAGTAAGCCAATGCATGTTGGAAGCAGCACGGACAGAGCAGATATCATCAACGCTCTATAGACTGGGCTAGTTGATAATGACAATTATCTGACACTAACATGATTATGTGACATGGGAGTAAAGAATGGTAAAGCACATCCATGTAATCTTTGAGGCTGAGATGGGAGACATTATAAGCAACCTCTCATGGGAACAGTTAGTAGAAGTATCTTGGAGTGGCTGCTGCATCGGAGGATTGAGTATGCCCACTGTGCAGTGACGTTGATTGTGACAACATAACATAACAACAACATGCCTGTGGGTTATTGTGTGTTTGCAAGCGTGAGAGAGAGAGAGAGAGAGAGAGAGAGAGAGCATATGTGCATGTACACATATTTCTTTGTTTTCATTTCTCTCTGTCCCCCTTCACTCTCCAATTTCCATCTCTTCGTCTCCCCCCCCCTCCCCCCAATTAGGAAAGCACTAACTGATGAAAACATGTGTTGTGTGTTTGATTTTGATTTAGAGAGTTCCTGCACTGTACTCAGATTCTCCTTGTGTGATATATAGAAATATCCCATGTGCAATGAAAGTGATTCTTTACAAAGTAAACCAAAATTACTGTTGGACAGTAGGAGAAGATGATGCAGAGATGTCTTGTGTAGGAGATGTTCGGTGTTTTCATTGCTAAAGAGGGTGGAAGTTGTTTAGCAGACAGAAAACCTCACGGGTAACATCACATCTAGCATGATAATGGAGGTGGAAACAGTATCTGCAGCGGTCCAAAGGCTAGAAGGTAGTACGGCTCGACATGTTGTAATTATGACTCACAAGCCAGCATGCGCGATTCTAGCATACATTTATTTGGACCCTTCCCAAAATGACATTTTCTGCCCAGGAGATACAGGTATGTGTGGACAAGACATCCAGGTATTTATCTTTTTGCTTTCTCGTTACTCTTTTTGCTTCAGTCTTGCCAGTTGTCGCCTAGTTCTCGAATCTGTTCCTTCTCATAACACACTAACTATCTGAATTTTGTTTTTCTAAGCAGTTTTTGGTTGCCATCTGCTTGAATCTGTCTTGTTTTGTAGGTTTCATTCCTTATTTTCTGTCTCTCATAGTAATCACATTAACAGTAATAAATGTTTCCTTGGCATTTTTCTGTTCATCAGTCCTCCTATGATGCATATTTGATGCCTCCACCATCAGATACTGGAATGAGAAGAACACATCAGCCATCGAAAAAGAAATCTTCTAGCCGAGATGTATCGCCCAGTTCCAGGTAGTGGCTGTTAAGTTTTGTTTTGGGAGGTTTGGTGTTGTTTGTATTAGCACAACAGTTAAAAGTTAGTTGTGTATTCTTTACACGACGTTGCGGAACCAACCCCAGTGTTTGATGACTGTTGGGGTTTTTCTAGACACATTTTACATTCCTTAGTTTTCCACTGCTTTCTGATAGTTCAACTCTCTTTACCACTGTCAAAACTAAGACAAACCGCCCTCAGCAGGGAGCATAGCTGGCACTCTGGCATAACGAAATGCGCTAGCAACGCCTAAGCCACAGACGCTGACAGCTCACCAGTTAATGGGGATTTTGATGTTTGGCTCTTAATTAATTTGTTATCTACACCATATAGTGTTTTATCATTATTATTAGGTAGTCTGACATGGTAATGAGTAACCATGGAAATGAGATGTCTGAGAAGAGCTGCAGGAGTGACCAGAAGAAGAAAAAATTAGAAATGAGGTCAAAAGAGAAAAAGTCGGCACAGAACCAGTTCTGAATTACATGCAATGACAGGAAATCAAATGCTTTGCCCACTTGGAGAGAATGTCTTGTGATGCCATATCATACAAGGCATACAACAAAAGAGGAGATGGACGAAGAGCAGATGTAGACTAAGAACAGAACAGAAAGATAAAATCTAAAACTGCACATGTCTATGGCTGAGGGGTGGTCAGAATAGCAAGAAGCAGAACATTATATCTCCCTCGACACCTGAAGCGGTAAAAGAGAACAAGAAGAACAAGTTAGTTGAAAGATTATCCTCATTGCACCACATCGAACCATTCAGTTCATCATTGCTCAGATCCCCTCCTGCCTAAATCCGTCAGTGTGTAGCAGCTGATGACACCAGTCCTCTGTTGGTTTCTGATTCCTCTTTAGCTTCTTGCACAGTGCTCTTGTCTGGCCACACTCCTTTTAACTTGCTGTTCTTGCATACTGGTCATGGTTGCCGATTCACAGTCATCACTTAGTTCTTGCAAACATCTTTATTATTCATAGAGCATAAATTGGTATCATTTTTATTGCACACACTTAAACCAGGCCTAAACACTTTGAGCACCCTTTCCTAACCCCCCACCCCCCCCTTCCCCCGAAAATTGTAAGGGGACTGAGGCTGTGACCTCTCCCCCTCCCACCATGCTGTGTTTGTGTCGGCGTCGTGTATCCTTGAATTCAAAATGAAAGTTCATACCCACAACAATGGTTGGTTAGTCAGTCCTCTAGCTAGAAGCCTGAGTGCTTAAGAAACATGCTTGTATAGACAGTGTGAAGGTCAAAGGGATAACTCTTTTGGTACCAAGCAGGTGTTATATTAACTCTTTTTTTTTCCTAAGAATACATGACTTTATTTGATGAACATTGGGGTCTTTGTAGTTAAAGTACTTGTGTTATAGGACATGAGGGGTTAAAGTCAGAAATTTGACGGATTGGGTGAGTGTAACTACCAAATTGATCACAGGGAGTTGAGAAAAGTAGGTTGTGAGGGTTGAAGTCACCAAACTCTTGAGAAAAGTGGGTCATGAGGGTTGAAGTCACCAAACTCATGGTGGGTTGCTTGGTATGGAAGGAGTTAATATTTGTTCCCTTGTTTGTTACAGTGATAACTTTTCCTACTTTTAAGAACTCGTTGTTGTTTTCATTTTTAATTCCAGGCACACAAGCAGCGACAGTCTAAACATGGTAAGATCAGGTTCGGACCCAGGTCTCTTGGAGAAAACATTGACTTCAACAACTGTTTAGATCATTCTGCAGCATTAGACGCGAGACATGGATGGTGACCAAACATGGACCTTGTTGCGGACTCTGCACCGTCCACTCATCTCACTAACTTTTATCGCTCCCTACATCACAGACATTTCTGAAGAAAACCAAAAATATTTGGATCATCCATGGAGTTAATTGTCAGAGTGCTGATCCATTTAGCATACATTGAATTACCAGTTATGTGTTTCCCCTACATCGTGAAAATCCATAGTTAATCAGATAATTAATAACAACATTTGTATGCACTTGACGGAGCTTGTTACATTTTTTACGAAGCATCCTCAGACATTTAAAATTGATGTAACATATGCAGAAATGGTAATTGTTCTTCCTCTTCTCTTCCTCTATTTACCTCCTCAAGGGTGAGGGTGTAATGGTGTTCTTCCTCTTCTCTTCCTCTATTTACCTCCTCAAGGGGGAGGGTGTAATGGTGTTCTTTCTCTTCTCTTCCTCCATTTACCTCCTCAAGGGTGAGGGGGTACTTGTCCTCTGTGTGCTTTTTTCTGCTTATTCTATTGCATTATTTGAGGCAGATCTTGATGCCATCATCCGTCTTTGCATGGTGCTTTCCCTTGCTCTGTGTTAATCATATGTCTTCAGCATGGTTTTCTGTGGCAGTCGGTACCAAGGCATTCTCGTCAGATAGCCAAACAATACTGTTGCCCTTTAAGGAACTATATGATTGGTTTTAACTTTGTCTCTTCTTGGTTTCAATGCTAGCCTTCTAAGTTCTTCACTTTTAACTTGGTCTCTTCTTGCTGCTCTGGCGACTCTTCTAAGACACCTCATCTCTGTTGATATGATGTAATGGTCCATATCTGATACCATCAGTATACAACTGGTCAAAATGTAGTTCTTGTTAGATTTACCTTAGTAGACAGATGTATTCAGGTCAGAGTAATAGTCCCAAACTTAAACAGCATTTGCTTTGAATGTACATATATTTTTAAGTTTGTAAACCTCTTGTTCTTCTCAGTATCTTTTTGGCCAAGTTAATCTGACTCTTGTCTCTGTCTCTGATTACAGCAACAATAAATTGTATTGTTGTAAAGTATCACCTTTATTACTCAGATTTCTCCAAGAGGGTTTCAGTCTTCTTTTAGAGATCACACTAGGAGATTCTCATTGCAGTGCATGAACTTGTCACACTGTTAAGGTCCAAATGTTTGTATCTTAGAATCACACAAGGCTGTAAATTTGCTTTTTTTTTTGTGAGTAGGTTTTTATCATTTAGTTCCAGCATCTGTCTAATTAGCCTGCTCTTGTAATGTTCAGACATAGGGGGGATTTTCATGCTAAGACTAGACATCCAGTTTTTCATTCTTCTAAGAGAAGCCTTAACATCCAGACCTAATTAGAAGTTTATAAGGTTTTTGTTCTTTTAGGAGAAGCTTTAACATCCAGGCCTAATGATAAGACTAGACATTTAGTTTTTCATTCTTAAAAGAGAAGCTTTAACATCCAGGCTTAATGATAAGACTAGACATCCGGTTTTTCATTCTTTAAAGAGAAGCTTTAACATCCAGGCTTAATGATAAGACTAGACATACAGTTTTTCATTCTTAAAAGAGAGGCTTTAACATTCAGGCTTAATAATAAGACTAGACATCCAGTTTTTCATTCTTAAAAGAGAGGCTTTAACATCCAGAGTTGATGATAAGACTAGACATCCGGTTTTTCATTCTTAAAAGAGAAGCTTTAACATCCAGAGTTAATGATAAGACTAGACATCCAGTTTTTTAATTCTTAAAAGAGAAGCTTTAACATCCAGAGTTAATGATAAGACTAGACATCCGGTTTTTCATTCTTAAAAGAGAGGCTTTAACATCCAGAGTTATTGATAAGACTAGACATCCAGTTTTTCATTCTTAAAAGAGAGGCTTTAACATCCAGAGTTGATGATAAGACTAGACATCCAGTTTTTCATTCTTAAAAGAGAAGCTTTAACATCCAGAGTTAATGATAAAACTAGGCATCCAGTTTTTTATTCTTAAAAGAGAGGCTTTAACATCCAGAGTTAATGATAAGACTAGACATCCAGTTTTTCATTCTGATAAGAGAAGCTTTAACATCCAGAGTTAATGATAAGACTAGACATCCAGTTTTTCATTCTTAAAAGAGAGGCTTTAACATCTAGAGTTGTTGATAAGACTAGACATCCGGTTTTTCATTCTTAAAAGAGAAGCTTTAACATCCAGAGTTAATGATAAGACTAGACACCCAGTTTTTCATTCTTAAAAGAGAAGCTTTAACATCCAGAACTAATAATAAGACTAGACACCCAGTTTTTCATTCTTAAAAGAGAAGCTTTAACATCCAGAGCTAAAAATTAGACATCCAGTTTTTCATTCTTCTAGGAGAAGCTTAAACGTCCAGACTTAATGAGAGGATCGGACATCCAGTTTTTAAAATTCTTATAAAAGAAGCTTGGACATTTAGACCTGCTGAGAAGTCTAGATATCTAGTTTTTTCATTTTTGTAAGAGAAGATTAGATATCGTCTACCTCCATGGGATCATATGGGGATGAAACGTGTCCTTCAAGATGTGTTGTGTGTGTTTTAAAATCAGTGCCTTTCTAACCTTGAATTCAGCCTGATTTCTTCAAGTTTCAAGCCAAGGTTGTGCCTCAGCCTCTGCCCATTATCACCATTCAAGCGCATGTCTACCTCAGACAGCACCATTTTTAACTCTTTCAGCCCCCAGTCACTTGATACTTTAACTCTTAAAAACAATAGATGTTTTGGTCTGAAGAGCTTTAAAATAGACACCATGGGGCAGTAGTAGTTCAGCTAATGATTCAGACGCAAAGGGTTAATTCAGTGATCTTCTGGGATACAAGACAGCAACAACATTATATCTCTTCGGAATGACCAAAAAACATATGATGCGTGGTACTGAAAGAGTTGAAAATCTATGTATTCTCTTTTTGTTTCCAGAGAATTCTTTCTTGTTCCTATCATTCCTGTTCCATTTACGCTGTGTTTCAGAGCTATGAATTTACTGATTTTTTTGTTTTTCATGTGTTGGCTACCTCAGACCATAAGGTTGCAAGCACGTAAAAAACCCTCATTACATTTGTTTGTTACACTTGTAAATATTCATCTTTTATTTTACATGTGACTGTGACCGTCTGTATGTTTGTGTGTGTATCATAAAAGCTTATGGTACTTGTAGAGCATCAAGCCATATATAATAGTTGTCCATGATTTGTTACCTTCAGCTGTCAGCGTTTTCAAGTGTCTTTGTTAAACCATTTTCAAAGAAGGAAGAGGCAGAAGGGAACTTTATAATGCAGACAGTCTCACTGTGTTGGTAGTATGTTAGCCTCCAGTTTAGTCCACCAGACAGTCTCACTGTGTTGGTAGTATGTTAGCTTCCAGTTTAATCCACCAGATAGTCTCACTGTGTTGGTAGTATGTTAGCCTCCAGTTTAGTCCACCAGACAGTCTCACTGTGTTGGTAGTATGTTAGCCTCCAGTTTAGTCCACCAGACAGTCTCACTGTGTTGGTAGTATGTAAGCCTCCAGTTAAATCCACCAGACAGTCTTACTGTGTTTGTAGTATGTAAGTCTGCAGTTTAATCCACCAGACAGTCTCACTGTGTTGGTAGTATGTAAGCCTCCAGTTTAATCCACCAGACAGTCTCACTGTGTTGGTAGTATGTAAGCCTCCAGTTTAGTCCACCAGACAGTCTCACTGTGTTGGTAGTATGTAAGCCTCCAGTTTAATCCACCAGACAGTCTCACTGTGTTGGTAGTATGTAAGCCTCCAGTTTAATCCACCAGACAGTCTCACTGTGTTGGTAGTATGTAAGCCTCCAGTTTAATCCACCAGACAGTCTCACTGTGTTGGTAGTATGTAAGCCTCCAGTTTAATCCACCAGACAGTCTCACTGTGCTGGTAGTATGTTAGCCTGCAGTTTAATTCACCAGTAGAAATGTGGCATCCTGCGTTATGTTTTTTATTAGTTGATTAGAAAGAACACTTCCATCTTTAGTCAAATGTGAATATTGGGAACTCACTAAAGACCTTATTGTGCTATTGAGTTGGTTGTTGTCTGCTGTTTGTGTCCATACCTGGGAGTTTGATGTGTTTTAGGACACTACTCCATGATGGTGGAAAGTGTTCATTTTTCTTTGTGCTATTTTTTTGTGTCCCCATGAAGTATGAAGCCTTGTCCTGCAGTCTGTGGGACACACAAAGTTTTATATTACGGACCTGCACACTGCCTGATGGTAGTCACTCTCTTAAAAACACGGACCAAGTTTTCATTGTCTGTAAACTCTGGTGGAACATTCTAGTTATTAGCCCACTTCTTAACTTGATTTCATTCCAGAACTTGAGTTCTGCGTGCACATCTGTTATAAAAATATGGCTTATGTGTACGCAGACTGTTTTCTCCTTGACTCTAAAGTTGATACACTCCAACTTAGACAGAAACATCCCTAGATGCATGTTACGACAGGCTGGGGGAGGGGGGGGGGGGTGTGTGTGTGTGTGTGTGTTGGGTCTAAATTTTTCCCTCTCCCCTCAAATACGTATCCAGAACCCCCACAGGGATGGTTAGTTAATTACATTTATTTCTGGAATGTTTTGCTGCCATTTTACATCTTTTAAAGCAGTGTTGTAGAAGTGACAGTATCTGTGTGTGGAACCTTTACACATGATCACTAGACAGCATGTTGTTATTGTGCCTTTGTTGATTAGAATTGTTCTGGCAAAATACATTTACTCACGAGAATTTACTTGCAATATTAAATATGTATACTGTTATTTTTATGTTATATTACATTTATACAGAATTGTTATGTTGTAACATGTGTACTCAGTAGTTCTAGAGTTGAAATATTAGATTTGATCATTACAACTGCACTTCCTTGTTGCATGTTGGAATTAGAAGTTCACTGAAGTGTTGCATTTATTAAGTAGCAGTTTGCCAAAATAGTTTATTATATTTGTAAATTAGAATTGTTTA